TACAGGGATAGAGCGGTAAGGGATTGATGCATTCGCCTTCCAATGAGGTTAACTGGGTTCGAATCCCAGCGATGGCTCGCACTGACCACAGTGCAGACGTTAAATATCTTCATTGGTAGACAAATCATGAGATACAGTCCCCTTGCTGTCAGGTTAGATGTGGGAGGTTTTCCTCTTCATGTAACGCAAATGCGGGTTAGTTCCATCAAAAAGTCCTCCATGAAGGCAAATTAGTACCAATACTAGATCCAAGAGTTTCCTTGTCTTCTGGATTGGGTTCATAATAACAGGGCTACGGAGTTGAACGTTAGTAGTTGTAAAGCCAAAAAAATTCGGTCGGCTGTTCAACGACGGTTATAAGAAAAAATAACTACCGAAAAACGATCTTCAAAGCCACACGGATTCATTGCGAAACCATCGCTAATCGATCAAGGATTGATTACAAACTGAAATGCGGAATTCGCCGATGTCATAAGGGCATATCAAAATATAGAGATTTTAAAAACCATGGCAACAAACCATATATGGATTTTTTTCGTTGTTGATTGGAATTGAAGTTAATTATCTTTTTTTTTGTTGTATTTTTTATTGAATAAGGATGTTTTGATGTCAACTGTATAAATATATATACTCAAGTCAAATTTCTTGATGGTTTTTTTGATGATTTAAGTTGATTTCCCTGCAATTCATGATGTTCCAATATCATTTGATGGTCACCATCATCCAACGTGGTCCATTATGCATTCATGGTTTATGATATGCCAACAAACTTCCATTATTCCATGATGGAAAATGCTACTTTAAAACTATGAACGATAAAAAGAAGTTTGACTTTCATGCTGGACGAATAATCTATGATGATCCATAATGGTAAATCAATGGAAAACCATCAAAAATTTTGACTTTGGTGTATATATATATATATATATATATATATCAGGGGTAATTGTGGCAGGAAATTAAAAACCCTGAAAATTTTATGAGCAAAAATTAGATAACAATATATCAATTTATATACTATTCATATTTAATATAATTTTTTGAACCAAGATTTATAATTAAATTAGTTTTTACTAAAACACACTTACTATAAGTAAAAAATTTAAGAAACAATTTAGTTCTTAAAAGAATCGCAATATCGGATTTTAAGAACGAGGAATCAAATATCGCGACATTGGGTTTTAAAATCGTGCAGATATGAATCGCGATATTGGATTTAGGAAAGCGATAATACAAATCACAACATTAGATTTTGAATTCGAACGAATAGAAATAGCGATATTGATTTCAAAAACTTGCAAATACAAATTGTGATGTTGGGTTTTTAAATCGCCTGAATACGATTCACAATGAATGATTTAAATCAAGGTAAATACGAAAACTGACGTTCGATATTAAAATCGCGATATTAGCGGATTTCGAACATTAAAAAAGATAGAAATACGGCCAACCAAAAAAAAAAAAAAATTTAATGGAATAAATAAATTTGGAAGAGTCACTTGTTTTGTTAACGCGATTCAAAGAGGGTTTCAAAGTTTAAATTTTAGATTATAGTACTTAATTCTTACTTTAAATTTTAGATTGCGGTGAAAATCTCGCTGGATTATAAGTTGTGGTTAGCAGCGTAAAAAATCACATGCCCTGGTCCTAGTTTCTAGACCTGGACAGATGATACGAAAAACACGGAATACAATCATCCCTGATATATGTATATACATATACGTTTAATAAAATAAAGTCAGAAAGTCCTTTGCATGCCAACGGATAATAGAACAACTGTTTATTTAATGACATTCATTATAGTTGCTTGATTTGTTTTAAAATATACATTAAATTTTACTTTAATTCCAGAATATCAATATATCTGAACTTAACATTTAACCCCACAATCTGCATTGAGTTAGTTTCCAATGCCTTAACAGTAAAGTTATACCATTTGGTTTTAAGACATAATTATTTTTAAATAATATCCAATACAGATGAACATTTTATTTTCAGATTTTGGTTATAGTTAATAAGACCCCCTAACAAAAAAAACTCACTTAAGCTTAAAGATTTTTTTATTTTTAAAATCCATTTTTTTGGGGTGAATTGTCAAATTATCTTACTATACATAAAATTTAATGATGATATCAAAGTTTTTCATTGTTGGTAAATTTTATTGGCAGGAAAATCCAGTTTTCCCACAATAATTTTTATGTTGTTTCGGTTGTCATCAGCATAAAACTGATATAAGTCATAAAGGTATTTGTTTTCCTATGAATATTTTTGTATCCCTAATTTAAAGGTATTTACTTGTACTGTTATTATTATGTTTTCTGAATTTGTTTGTTTTCTAAATTAAGAGTTTAAGAGGATTATTTTTCTTCTTACTATTATTAGACTAATTTAATTCTACGTTATATTTTACGATAAAGTTATTTAATTCGGTGCCTGATCTTATTAACAGTTTTACAATTGTTATTCTTTGGTGCAAATTACATTAATATACTAATATGAATTACGGTTAATTCAGTCTTCTACCTCACGGTGCTCCGGTCTTTGGACAACAGAAGCTGCATACCCCCTCCCATGAATCAGTTGAAGCATGAGGTCCACTTTCAATGGATCCCGTCCCACGTCGATATCCACGGCAACGAGTTGGCTGACACTCTTGCAAAGAAGGGACTAGACCATCCAGTTCCCTCCACCTCAGAGCTTACATACCTTGAACTTTTTGCAAGGCAAAAGGCCCAGAACAAACAAAAGTGGCTGCTTCCACCTATTCACTACTGGTATAAAGCAGAAAGACCAGGACTCTCTCTATCTCTCCCTGGTGATAGGCAAACCAACACCTGCTTATCCCGACTGGCCAGTGGACACCTAAAAAGTCTCAAATTTTCTGCAAATCAAAAAATCTTTCCTCTTTGCCCTAAATGCCAACAAAACCAGGCATCACCTGAGCACATCTTGAACTGTTTAGGGCTGGACTGGAATGACATTCATTCCTCTCCCATTCTGGTTTCGGATTTTCTGAATGTCAACGGATTCATTGATCTGGTCTGACCCCGTCAGACCAGATGGGAATTAGCAACAACAACGGTTAAAGAGATTCGTTAAAGAGACGATTTAGAACTTAATTTTCAGTTTCATGCACAAAGAGATGAATGCAAAAATTGTATTTACAATATACATCTGTCCGTTTTGTAAGCAAAAATATTAAATGAAAGTTGTGAACTCACCAAATATGTTATAACAATATACTTTTAATTTTAAATGTTATTTCAAAAAATGATTTATGTTCACTAATAGATCTTAATAATATCATAAGGGAAATATTTGTATGTGAGAAGTGGCAACACAAGTGTTCTTTATATTACATATATTTTTAGTTGAATAATTCCAACTGTTTTATGCCAAGAAACAGTAATGATTGCAAAGCGATCATAACAGTCTGAAATGTAGCAAATTATGATGAAAACAAAACGGATACTATGCTTAATTAGTAATTATTAAGCAAAATAATAATTATTTTCAAAGAAGGTATTATTTGATTTGTAATTCTGGTAATTGAAACTCATAAAATAGATATGATCACAATAAAAAATAACTAAATATTAATTATTTCAGGTATGCATATTTTAAAGAGCTGTTTTCATAAAATTTGTTGCATCTTTCTAATCTGTTTAAATTTTTTTTTTTAACGAAAAAGGATGACTTCTAATAATTTAAGGAGAACTATTACAAACTCTGGATCATCAAATAACAAATTATCGAGTAAAGTTGCCATAAATTATTACAATAATAATAATAAAATCTAATTATTCATAACCGAGACTTATTTCAGTAGTCAATCACACTGAACTGAATATTTACAGGGTATCAGCTACATTTTAGATTTTCAAATTCATGATCTTTTCATGACCAATTCCAAGAATTTTTCATGACTTAGCGAAGTTACTATTTTCTCCGACAAAAACACAGCAATAAATTTAAAAAACCATTATAATAACATTCATTGAAATGATAGGTATAACCAAAATCGTTATACTCTGCATCTTAATATTTATAGATTTTAAATTTAAAAAGAAGAGTAAAGAAAGAGTTGGAGCAAAAAAAAAAAAATAAAAAAAAAAAATAATAGCTGGAAAAAAAATAGAAAAGCAAATAATTTTTCTGCAGAATTATATTCTAAACATACTTTTCCTGTTCATCAGAAAAGAAAGAAATACTCCTGACTTTTTGTTCTCATTTCGGAATAAAAACAATCACCAATGACTGGCTTGCTTCAGCCGGAATTTTAAATTGATAAAATAAAAAAATAAATAAATTCTGAAATCTCAGAAGTTTAAAATATAATTCAAACTAGAGACTTCGTTTGTTCATTTTTTGAGAGAACAGTGTAATTTTTAAAGAACATGATAAAAACATTTCATATTTTAATAAAATATGACTGTGAGTGGAGATTTTGTTACAAATTCAGATATTCCTAACACCATGTAATTGTGGGGGGGGGGATTCCAGTTTATAAATTAGATTTTTCGGTGACCTAAGTTCATGACAAAAATAATAATAATGACAAATTTTGTTCAATACCGAAATTCATGACCTTCCATGATTTCTCATGACTTTCCAGATGCGCAGATACCCTGTGTTTTGCATAGCATAATTCAACTGAGCCTTAAATTTAATACTTAATTTACATATAATAACGTTTCAAGTATAATAAAAATTACAGTGAAGTTCGGATCAAATTTACATAAACTCAGTTTGTAATTTGAATTTTTTTTAAATATGTAGTGAAAAAGGAAGAAATTATTATATAAATTTAAAGGTAAGTTAAGATTAAAATTGTATCTAGATATTATATTACTTTTCAGATAGTTTGTTCGTATATTTGGCGAATAAGTATTATCACTATTGTCTCATAGAATCAATTTCTGTAGAACAATTATAATAAAAAATAATAACATCAGTCAAAATACAAACATCAGTCAAAAATAATAACATCAGCCAAAATGCACATTTTCAAGAGTTTCTAAGAATCACAAATAAATGAATAAAATATAATGATGATTAACAAATGATTAGCGAAATAATGAACAATAAAAATAATTCATTGATGAATGCACCACAAGTCAATAAATAAAAATACAAATTAGTTAAAAACAATTAATCAGTTCATTTACAAATTCGTTTCAAACATCGCTAATTTCCTTTTCCTACATATTTAATCTTTGTATTGTTCTATCAAACCTTAAATTAGCTAGGATCATTATATCAGAAGCTAGTTCTTCAATTTTTGTGAAGCGAACTTTATGAAAACTAAAAATATCATACATAAAGCCCATGACTTCCTCCTAAAAAAATAAGACAATTAAAATATAATCAATTCCAAACATTTAAAACAGTTACCAACATTACAAAAGGAAAATTAGTTAACAAATAAGTTGTTTTAGCTTAATTAGATAATGAATACTTAAATATTATGACATAAGAATAAAACTTAGCGGATATTTTTTTTTATAAAAATGTATTCAAAATTCTTTTTTGTCATCATTTCTAACTTAACTGCATTGAAATGAAAAATGTTTTATAAAAAAAAGTATACTTTTGCAAACATGGATGGAATTGATATTTTTCATCAAAGATAAAAATAGAAAATGCGACAGTTTAAAAGACTTTTACATCAATCATATTATTACTGTTACATCATATCACTTTTATATAAATCATACTTTTACTTTTTGAATAAAAAAGTAAGCATCGAGCTCAATTCCCTTTTTTTGTTGTTGTTATTTCTAACTCAAATGCATTGAAATGAAAAAAGTTTCAGAATAAAAAGTATACTTTTGCAAACATGGATGGAATTGATATTGTTTATCTAAGAAGATAAAAATAGAAAATGTGATCTTTTAAAAGACTTTTACATCAATTATATTACTACTTTTACACCATATCACTTCTACATAAATCATACTTTTACTTTTAAAATAAAAAAGTAAGTATTGAGCTCAATTCTCTTATTCTTGTTGTTATTTTTAACTCAACAGCATTGAAATGAAAAAGGTTTCAAAATAAAAAGTATAGATTCTTATTAAAAATTATACTTCTGCAAACATGGGTGGAATAACTATTTTTTTATCTAAGAAGATAAAAATAGAAAGTGTGATCCTTTAAAAGATTTTTAAAACAATCATATTAGGGCAATTCCACGGAAGTGTCAACTTTTAAGTGAAATTTTTTTTCTTTGAATTGCATATTTTAATTTTAAAAATATGTTCAAAAATAGCCAAAGTCTACATATTGCCGTTTCATTTTTGACAATTTTAAATTTTTTGAATCTGGCAGCATTCTAAAGTAATCACATGGCTGACAAGTGAATTGTTCACATTTGTGCTCAAATTGTTTTCTTGAAAAATACTTATAAAATAAAAGAAATGTATCTTTCTTTTGCAATATTTTGAAAAAAATATGCATGTAGTACAAAATTTAAACATTTAAAACATTATCATTTTAAGTTTAACATATAAAATAAAAGTAACTTCTTTTACGTCATTCCGTCACATGTCTTAATAATGCATAAATTTCCTGAGAACGAAGATAAGATGTGACATTGGCAAGTTAGATATAAAACCTCTACAGAGACAACCTAATTTTCAAACTATTGAAATTTTTACTAATTCTTACATAAATATTAATCCTGTTTATATGTTACATTCTGTTTATCATTTACATATTAATAAAACATTTTTTAAATGAAGACTTTCTTCTACTAAACTTTTTGTCATTCCGTCACAGCAAATAGATGTTAATAACTGCTAGCCAACCTGAGGTTAATTTTCCAAATTCACATTTTACATTGCTTACACATTATACTAAAAGTATAAAATAGTTCAGAAAAATAATAGCTGCAAAATTCGCAGAAACTACCAGTTCTAAGCGGCATGCCAAAAGCTTGGTTGCCAAAATGTCATTCCATCACGCAAATAAAAAGTTCGTAAAATTAAAAGCAAAAAAGATAGAAAATCCTGTTTTTTTAGTTTATGAAGCGCATTATGCCAATAATAATGATATACATGAGAAATTTTTTTATTTATTTGAAATTAGATACATAGAAACTTCAATTAATTGTTATTTTGCAAGTCAAAATGTCATTCTGTCACATATGGAATTGCCCATTATCACTTTTACATCATCATCACTTTAACATACATTTACTTTTTGAATAAAAAAGCAAGTAGTGAGATCAAATCTAATAGACAATTTGAAAAGCTAATTTTGTAACATAAACTCTTTCTCCAAAGGATTGGAATAACTTAAGAGGATGCCATACCACGGGAGAAACTTTTCATCACAAATTTTCCTTCACCACCATTACTAATTTAAAATAAAGAAAAAGTGAGTACAGGTAAAACTTAGAATAAACAATCACGGGTCTGTTTAGAAGAAATTTGGGTCCATTAACGGACCCTTCACAAAATATATTTTCCTAAAACGGGCCCTTCACAAAATAATTTATTTTTTAATCGGATCCTTCACAAATTTGTTTATCTTCATTATTGTTTTGTCAATCAAATAAACCCTTCCGGGGGGGGGGGAGAAATTCANGGGGGGGGGGGGGGGGAGAGAAAGATGGTTCGAAACGAACTAAGTTTAAATTCCAAACGTAGTATTTTAGGAAAATATTTCTACTTTTACAAACACCAACATCGTGTGCACACTCTTATTGGTAGTAAATGATATTTTTTTGTAAATAAATAATTGATCAATTTATATTTATTCATAAAATTAATTAAATTTTGTTTCCATTATTTGTCCGAAATGAATATTCTGCTTTCAGCAGTATAGGCTAAATACCAAATATTTGTATGTTGCATCTCTAATTTAGTAGCAGCAATTGTTGAGCAGAATCTTGTATCCTATTTATGACTTAAAAACTTTTCGAAAAGATTTTTTGCAATAACAGGACCCTATTTGCACAAATTCACAAAAGCAGGACCCCGGCTGAAAGAATGTGACTTAATGCTTACTTTATATTCACAAATTATGAGTAGTTTTTTTCACAATTTTACAAAAACAGGACCTTTCACAAAATGTCTGGACAGACCCCCGACAATGAAGTTTCAATTACTGAAAAAAAAAAAAATCAAAATGCAAACAAATTATTAGAAGAGAACTTCTCCATTCCAAAATCCTAAGTTATCTTCACATAATTTATTTTCATTTGTATATTTTAAAATTTTCTTTTCAGTATTTAAAACTTCATGGCTTACTCTAGGTTTGTCTGAACTCACTTTTTCTACACTTTAAATTAGTTATGGAGGTGGGACAGAATTTGCGACGTAAATTTTCTCCCTTAGTATGGCTTCCTCTTAAGCAAGAAGCACTTTAGAGTAAAATAAAATCTTCCTAATAAAAAGAGAAAGCAAAACACAAAAGTAAACTACATAAATTAATTACAAAAGGAAAACATTGCTGAAAAAACTAATTTAAAAATAGTACTATTTCAAACCAAAGCACACAACTTTCTGAAAATCTTTGACCAAACTGAAATTTGAAAACAAACTTGGGTTTTGTCATAAATGTTTTCCTTTTATAATTAGTTTATGCAATTTACTTTTGTGTTTTGTTTTTGTATTATGTATTTCTTTTCTCCTTTCCTGGATTTTTAATTTTTGTTAGATATTTGTCGTGCTTTCTCGATAGAAAAGGTTTTGTGTTCTTATGACGTCAGTTTTGGTTGTCATTTTTACAATTTCATTATTTTCTTCCTTAAAATTTTCTATAAAATCTTGCTGTTATTTATTCGGATATATTTGGTTAAAATATTTAACAATCCAAGCATTGAATACTATGTACTGCTTTCAAACTGAATAAAATGGAATGAAACTGATTCAAAAGAGTTTAAAGGTGGGATCCACATTCAAAGCAAAACTTATGGTACATGACAAAAAATAATCATAAAATAAAAATTTTCAAATACAATTTTTTCAGAATAAGCTTTTAAAAAATTAAATGTGAGAATCGATTCATGCGTAATAATGTGTTCGCTTGGAAAGTTCTCTTCTATAAATATTTTTCTTTTAATTATAAAAATACTTTTAAAAAATAATCTTGAAAATTACAGTAAAAATTTATACACAAAATAAAAAACTTTATCAAAGAAAGAAAGATATATTGTGGAAACTAAAGATATTCATACCAGTGTTTTCATCCTAGAAAAAATATGGGTGAGAATTTCTCACCCTTTCTCAAAAACAGGGTGAGATTTCAAAAAGTTAAGTGAGATTTCTAAAAACTAAAAAAACAAAAACTCTCGAAAAAAAGATAATTTCTTTAATTATAATAAATTTTTAACGTCTTCTATTTTTTAAAGCATTGAATATTTTTGGTGCATCATCATAGAAGATTTTGTCTTTACAAGGTATTTGTCCATCTTACATTAGCACGTAAAAAATTTGAATATCTTACATGAAGAAACCTTACGGTATAAACACGTGGTTGCAGAGAAATGTGTTCTGAAAGGGGTTCCGTGGTTGTGTTCTGTTGTTAGAAAAGGTTCTGAACAATACTGGTAAATAGGGAAGATGGAACGGGGCAGATGTTGGAAATATAATGAAAGATCCAGGAAGAAAAGTGAAACGGATTTTATTCTAAATGGCGTAATTCGAAGCTTTTTCCAAAATGCGAGAAATTCGCAAATTTTAAAATTGATTTATAGAATGCGCGAATTTCTCGCGGTAATAATTTTTTAATGCGAGATTCTCGCACTCTAGTGAAAACACTGCATACTGATTACAAATGATAAAACGTGTCAAATAAACTGTTTATATTTTTGGACAATAGGATTTTTAAAAAAAATATTAATAATGTAAATATTTGTAATAATATATGTTTGCTACACTAAATGTTTCGTTATTTGTATTTTCCACAGATTATAAAAAACTGCTCAAAATTTTGATTATTCATGTCAGTGTTTCAAGTAAAGTTTGCTTAGTTAAAATAAGCGTTTTAAACATTAATTATTGATGGGGAGATCTTCAATAATTCTGATTGATTGCATACTGCATTTTTTTTTTATTTCTAAAAAATTTTTCCTGCTTAAAAAATTACTTTCCTCATTAAATGTAAGAAGAAAAAAATTACTTATAATGAGTGCGTTTGTCTGATACATTTATGACATTACGCCAAACAAAAGACTCTATCCTACTGAGAAAATCTGGAATCTTATTAAATATGAGATTGTTATAAGTGGGACCTGCTGCACTAATTTGTTTCAAATAAATGTAGGATTTTTTAAACATTTGTACAGGATACTTACCCATTTAGATTTACACTTATAGTAGGTTGTAAGTAGTTGCCTAGTAAGGTTGTCACTCAAATCTGGGAAAAAATTCTGTGTTTTCCCTGTACATATTATACACAATATATTAAGAGGAAACAAAACAATTACAGTGCTCTTGTGTGAGCTATATTGGGCTAACTACTTTTATTAGTTTCAATTGCTGGAAAAACTTAGAGGGAAAAAAAAGTAACAGTTGAAGATACTTAGATAATGCTATAGTAAATGAAATAGTTTAGTATAGCTGAAATATCATGCTTAAATATCCCATAGATTATGTTTTGAATGGTCACCATTTTTTAAAAGACAAAAACAAGAAACAAATTCTCTGATATTTTATGAGATTTCTGAATTCCCTGTATTTTCCTATGGAGTTGAAATTCTGCTAGTTATTTTGGATTAAAGCATTTGGAGCATGGTTGATTAACCCATTTTCAGCCAAAGGTGTGCAAAGGCACCATTTCAATAAATATTTTTTTATTAACACCGTGACTTATATTTTTTACTAATATTATTTTTATACTATTGTCAAGGGTTCTTAAGACACCCAAAACTTAAGAGTAATTTAATTGGAGTAAACACTTTCTGTTGAGAAATTTTTTAAACTATTCAAGTTTTTTTAAACTTAAAACGGTTATTGACAAATGAAATTTTTTTTAAAAAATGCAGAATTATTTCTTTTTTGAGATTTATCATTATGTTTCTATGGTGGATTAAAGTTGCAAGTCAGTAAATAAAAAATAAAAAACAAATTTCATAATTCTATTCGATTGAGAGTACAAATTAGTTTGGCCCGTTTTTAAGAGATGGTTCTGCTCTTATGAATGTTTCATAGTGACTGCTGGTTTCGGTGGTTTCAGAGAGCTTAAACATCTGTCAATAATATTCAGTTTATATTGCTTTGAGTTTCACACAAAAACCCTGTTTTTTACTTTGTTGAGTATGTCAAGTTCTGTGGTATCGAAGCACCATTTGCAGGAAGTTTTATGATTTTTGGTACGATTCTGGTACGATTTGGAAGTTTGGTACGATTCTGCTTTAATTGGAAGAAAAGTGCAGTTGAAGCGCATCGAATTCTTGTAGAAGTTTATGGTGACAATGCTCCAACTGATAAATCATGCAGGGATTGGTTTCTACGTATTAAGAATGGTGAATAGTTTTGTATACTATGAGCTGCTACAACCTGGTGATTTCATCACAGGCGATTGGTATAGGCTACAATTGATTCATGTGAGCCGTGCATTACGAGAAAAATGGTCAAAATACAAGCAAAGACATAACAAGGTTATTCGTCTACCTAATAACAGTCAGCCTGATGTCGCAAAAAAATTATTTGGAAACAGTCAAGTGGGATATTTTACTGCACCAGCTGTATTTGTTGGACATTGCTCCTTCTGATTACTGGTTGTTCTGACGGATGCAGCACGATTAGGCAGGTCACCAATTCACTTCGTTCGCATAAATCGAAAATTGGCTCCTAACTTTGATCGCGTCAAAAGACGAGACATTTTTTCGAGATGGAATTAGAAAATTGCCTGAGAGGTGGGAAAAAGTAGTAGCCAGCGATGGACAATACTTTGATAAATCTGTTCATTCATTTTGTTCTGAAATAAATGCATTTATGATCACAAAAAAAAGCGGAATGAACTAATTTGTACACCCAATAAATGGTTTGTTCATTGATTTGGTGAATTGTGCCTATATGCACTATTTTATTTCTCAAATAAAAAAAATAAATTTATACCCAAAATTTTTTGTGTGTTTTAATAAATGTAATGTAAGCATATTTTAATGAAAATAATACCACATTTCATAAAATTTATATGCTTGGTCAAAAATGGGTTAAAGCTTAGAATATCCTCAGTATGGCATGAGAGAAAAATAGATTATCTTTAATTATTTAACTGACCTTGAAGTAAATGCAGAGCTCTTTTAGCCTTTCATCGGGACCTAAGAATCCCCAAGCTAATACAGGTATCAGATGCTCAGATACGCAATAAAAGCGACTTATAAAACCATCAGGATGCTGGAAAGACAAACACCAAAGATTAGAACTCTTCCACTTAAATCCATAATGATTATTTCAAACTAATATTATTATAAATATACTAAAATAAATACAATATCTTTACATTTTAAAATTCAATTGAATCATTCTGAACATTGCCTTCTTTAGACATACAAAACAGAAAGTCTCATATAACTTATTTATTCAATTCCTAGTTCACACTCTCCCTATATCTTGTACAAATTTTTAATTGTTAATAAAATACTTTTTATTCATCCACTCAAGTTCAAATACATTTCTGTTTATACTTGTAGTGGAAGACACTTGATGTTAATACAGTTTTTTCAAATATTAATTGAATAATTAAATTTAATTAATTAATTTTAGCTTTATATGGGAGAAAAAGAGTGTAATTATTTAATAAAAAGTAACTAAAATAAAACTTTTCCTTGTTGACCTAATTAGGAATTGATTAAATTTTTTTTAAATATTATTTGTTCTATACTTGTTATCTTAATTTTATGCGAAATTAATAAATGAGTTCAGACGCATGTTTAAGAAGTGGTATCACATACATGTGTCACAATAAATTCTTCTTGAGAAGAGTTCAAATCTTGCCAGCCGAAAAACCCTCGTGTATTAAATGGTGACAGGTGCACATTAAGTCCGTCAGGGTTCAAGTTCTCATAACAAATCAATACCCCAGGAGATACTGAATTAGAGTTTGATCGTTTTCTGATCAAAGTCAAAATTACAATCTGGTGATAAATTAATGGATGTATGAATGCGTCCAACCTATAAAATGGGCGTGCGTGGCTAAAATCATGCCCTTGGCAATAGATGGGACCACAGAAAAACAAAGAATGCGCACCCTCTGCCTTAAATTTGTGTGTTTTCCAAGCGAGATTACAGACATTGGCAAGTGGCAATAGAAACAAGAACAATAAATTAACAAGTTTAGGTCAAAATAAAAAACTCTTATCAGGCCTGTCTTGACATACACTTCTGAAGCTTGGAGAATGACAAAACTTCAGAAAAATTGTATCGCAATATTTGAGAGAAAGATTTTGCGGAGTATACTTGGTGGTGTAAATGGAAACAATAACCGGAGAAGGAGATTCAACTTTTAACTTTACAAGATTTACACCCCCCAATATTATTAAATACATAAAAATAAGTGAACATGAGAATAAATTGGATAGCCTACGTGATTTGAATGAGTGATGACAGAACAATAAAAAAGATATTGCTTTTTAGACCTGCTGTAACAAGAAAGCGGGGAAGGCCGCAATTAAGATGGGCTGATTCATTGGAGTCTGTTTTTTTTTCTGCATTTAATGAAAAGAATTGGAGATCAAAGATAAATCGAAAGTCACTATGGAGAAATCTTCAGAGGAAGGCATTGGCCCACATTGGGTTGTCTAACCAACTATGATAATGATGATAGGTAAATATAAACCAAAATGCAGATTAGAGTAAAAGAGTTAACAAGTTCAGTATTATTTAAATTTGAACTGCTAAAAAACTTACCCGTAACATTCTCTTTTTGGCTTTCAAAACAGACCACACTGCTGTAGCTAATGCCTGGAAATACATGCAATTGTGAATTTATTTTACATACACAGAAGAAAAGAGATATTTAAACTTAAGCTATATTTAATAAAGCGAAATGAATTGTTAGGACAATACATATTTACACACTAAAAACCGTGTAATAAAAGTTTAATGTAACACGAACCGCACATGACCAGAAGTCTGAGATTACAAGATTTCAAGTCATTGTCAAATTGTTCATTTTATAAGTACAAAAATGGTATTTTTATGGTAACTGCTAAATCTAGAGCTTTTAAATTCAAGACCTTCCAAAATTTTCCATGACTTGACACAGGATAATACATTACTCAATTTAGTCAAACCAAAAAAACAAAATAAAAGTCTAAAAGAGGGAATCTTTCTCAAAAACAATATCGTTTAATTTGAGCAATGCAATAATCCAGTTTAAACAAAAGCAATAAAAGAGAACTGAACTATTAAACTGAAAAGCATAGCCCAGAAATTAGCAGCAACAAACAAATTAGAATATGAATTCAAAAATATTAAATAATGCCGTTAAAGAACATTTATGAAGCTAAAATCTTTTTACTGGCAAAACTCAAATATGCTAATTTGAAAAGGTCAAGTTTAATGATTATGTTTATTTAATTGTACGACCTGCATTAGGCAAACTATACTAGCTGAAAAAACTTAGAATAGCTGAACATACTTAAATAGTGCTATAGTAAATGAACTAGTTTAATATAGCTGAAATATCATCCTTAAATATCGCATATATTGCTCTTTGACTGGTAACAATTTTTTAAAAGACAAAAATAAGAAACTAAATTCCCTGTATTTTCCCAGTTTCTATAGAAAAACTAAAAATTCCTTGTGGTAATTTTTCGCTGTATTTTCCAGGTTTTCCCTGAGGAGTGGCAACCCCGGACTTTGATCCTGTATGTGGCGCTATAGCAGCATATGCAAGAATAGTTCATAAAGAAAAAAGTCTAAAAAAAAACTAAATTGCAGAAAATAATGTAAGGCTGTATTTTCCAGGTTTTCCCTGAGGAGTGGCAACCCCGGACTTTGATCCTGTATGTGGCGCTATAGCAGCATATGCAAGAATAGTTCATAAAGAAAAAAGTCTAAAAAAAAACTAAATTGCAGAAAATAATGTAAGGAAATGAAGCTATGAAAAAAGTGCAATAAATTAGTTTCTTTGAACATCGTTTTTGTATAACTGCTGTTACAGAGGAACGAGGACGATTTGGAAACACTTTAATGGAAAGTCCTACCCCATCCGTCGTATTCACCAGACCTTGCCTCTTCAGATTATCACCTGGTCGATGGCACATGGTCTGTCTGAGCATAAATTTACTTCATTTGAAAAAAACCAAGGAATCAGTAGATTTGTGGATATCCTCGAAAGATGAAGACTTCTTCCGACGTGGTGTTCGAATGCTCCCAGAAAGATGGGAAAAATTAGTGTGGAGTAATAGAGGATACTTGAAATAAATGTTCAATTTTTGTCACAATAAGCTGCTAATTTTTGATAGAAAACAGCAAAAATTTATTGGTACTCTCAATACTTATTCAAATATTCAAGCAAGCAAGCAATAATCTGTACAAAAAGTCTATTTCAGTAGGGATTTTTTTTTATGAAACTTACTCAATTTTAAAGAATTTTCTAAAATGTGCAAAAACTAGGATTATTTTAATTAAACCAGTAGATCAGGAGAAAATCCAGAAAAAAAACTAAAATTAAGAAAATTATGTAAAGAAATGGAGATATGAAAAAAGTGCAATAAATTACAGTTTCTTTGAATCCGTTAGAAAGCCATCTGTTTTGTACAACTGCTGTTACAGAGGAAGGGGGACTTTCTAAATCTTCAAATGCATCAAGAACAATGAAGTCCAAAACAACATCGTAAAATGAAAGACATTTCACCTGAAAAATAAAATGAAAGTGACAGAATTAATTAAATGAAAAATTGTGAACTGAAAAAAAATAAATAAATAAATAAAAATAGAAGTTACTTTCATCTCACATAAAAAAATCTTACATTCAAAATCTGCTAAGTTGCATTATGCCTTTAATATATAATAAAGAAGAAAAATGCCTTGCTAGTTAAAATGCCTTGCAAAAATAGTTTTAAAATTTGCTATTTTATAGCAAATTTTAAAACTATTTTCTTTCTTTAAGTTACAAGAGCTTATTATTAAAGCATTATTGAATTAAAAAATTAAATTTGGCAGTTTTAGTAAAACCTTTGTCCTGGGTCTAGTCCTTAGAATTTGTAAGAACTGTTTGGAAAATTAATATAAAATTTTAAGAAGTATGTTAAGAAGATATGTTTAGGTGATTTTACAAAAATCACCTAAACATATCAATCCAAAGTAAGCTAATTTTTATATTATTGGTTATTAGAAAAATTATCCCACATTCTTCCGTAAGTCTTTTTGTTGTTGTCGTACTCCATTAAAGCAGAGTGGGTGATATTGTTCTTGTTTTAAAGTGGCGCCATCTATCCCCGAGAATTCAACTTCTGCCACATCCATAACTCACATCCGTTTACAGGGTGGACCCATTCATTCATTTACAGATCGTAATTTTGACCTGAACCAGAGAACGATCAATCTACAATTCAGTACCCCGAGGTATAATTTTGAATTCACTTAAAAAGTTCTTAAGATATAACGAAATACGCAAAAAGTAAAATTAACATTAAGGGGTTTAAACTTTACACCACTCTGCTGATCAAATTATTGGGACCATATTTTCCAGATTGCGGCTACCCCCTATATTTTGGGAGTCAGAAATTGGAATCCGTCAAAAAGAAAAAAGGTAGGTTTATTCAGAGATAGATCGTTTTTCTGTCTGATTTTGATACTTAAAACATCGTCTGTCTTTATTAATTAGTATATTTAAAGTCACCCCCTTGAGTCATTAAGATTGTGTCCCAGAACGTGAAGATCCGATCATTAGATCAAAAATTTTCAGGGGGTCTCTTTTTTTTGGTGCACTGTACAATAAACACCTGCAAATAGTTTTTGCTACATTTTCTCTCATCCTTAATAGCAACATGAAAATAACTTCCATATTAATAACAGTAGCTATTAATAAATACAAGCATACACTAAATAAAAATAAATTGTGGACACAGTTTCGAGCCAATTCTTAAAAGCAATACAATGGATTTCACTTACGCCTCGGTCTCTAAGTTCTTCCTCCATTAGGGGCCAGTTACTTTTGTCTCGAGAAAAAGCTATGATTTCTTCATAAGCAGTTAAACAGTCCTTAGGGTGCTGCAAGAAAGAAAAAAAATTATTTGATAGCCAATTTAAAGTTTTTTTCTTACAGCAATTAGTTTATTTTCTACGATTATAATTACAACTAATAAGTAACTATAAATTTAATTTAAGAAATCATAATTTTTTTGAATTAAATGATTCTTACAGACATAAAGTTACGATGAATTTGATTTTAAATATCATACCTGCCCATGAATAAAGTGATACTCACAAACATAGTAACTATAAATTTATACTAGGGCATGAATAAAGTGATATTTCCAATGATTAGGTATCATACCTGCCTATGAATTAAGTGGCACTTACAGGCACAAAAACTAAGTATTCAATTTCAGATGTCACTCTTATCTACAAATATTTACTAGCATAGTATTTACGAATTTAAACTGGTACTGTACACCGGCATATTTGCCAACATTGAAGAAATAAAATAGTGGAGATTTTACTGGCGACATTTTTAGGGCTTCAAGTAAAGTTTTGTTGCATCAAAAAAAAAAAAAAAAAAATATCCAATTAGTCTCTTTCAAGTAATAACTCTCTTTTTTTCACTTAAAAAAGTTATTCAGATTTGTTTCCTTGCTTGAAAACTTTCAATTTAAACAATTATTGTGATACAATATTGTATTACAATGTAATTTATTGATTTCAGATTTACTCTTACATACATAGTCTTCTATAGCAAGTCATAACTGAATTTTATTTAGTTTAACTTTTCAAAAATACTTTAAATCAAAAAAATGCAAAACATTGCTAGAATAAAATTTAAAAAAATGAAAACAGGATTACGGCTTAATAAATAATATATGGGAAAATATATAATGAATGCTTAAAAATGAAGAGTTTTTTACCTTTCCCCCAAGTAACATGAGACCTGTTAATATTTTATTTCCTACACTCATAAACCAGGCGTGTATTTCTTCTTGTTGGAACAGCAACTAAAAAATACAGTATTGTCAAGTACATTCACAACAAAGGTCTGCAATAATGAATACTGTTGTGAGCACATATGCATAAAGTTAAGGAATAATTAAATAAACAGTGCAGAGAAAAAAAAAAACCCTTTAGCTTTCGACTGAATAATCCAATTATCGAGTACAATGGTTTTTATAACCGTTGTTGAACAACCGACCCAGTTTTATGGGTTTGCGACAACTAATGTTCAACTCAACAGCCTTGTAATTTTGAATCCAATCCAGAAGACAAGGGAACTCCTGGATCGTGTATCGAGGGAAATTTGCCTTCGTGGAGAACTTTTTGATGGAGCTAACTTGCACTTGCATTACATGGAGAGGAAGATCATGAAAACCTCCCATGGTTAGCCAGACAGCAAGGGGACTCTAACTCATGACATGTCTACCACTGAGGATATTTCACGTCAGCCCTGTGGTCAGTGGAAGCTGGATGTGAAATTCGTATCGACTGGGGTTCGAACCCGGTTAGCCTCATTGGAAGGCGAATGTTCTATTCAGTGAGCCAATGCGGCTCAAGTACTATGGTTTAATCCTTTTGGTTCAAAGGCTTAACCTTAAATATGAAAATTAACTATTGTGAATGATATTTTAATTTGCGAAACCAGACACAATAGTGTTTTTCAGAACATTTAATTTTTCTGCTGTTATCAAAAGTTCTGAAGATATCTATAAAATATTAGTAATTCAGTTGGGGAAAACACTTTCTGTTTAGAAATTCTTAAACTATGCTAGTTTCCTAACTTATTGAGAAATTTGACTTTTTAAAATTGCATAATTACAACAAGTGAAATTAATCATATGTTTTTATGATGGATTCAAGCTGCAAGTTCTACATATAATAAAATAAGAATAAACAAATTTCATAAAATTGTAGTGTGGTTTCTCAATTGATTTGTCCGAAGGTGTATATACGCACCATTTTGTTTCTCAAAAAAAGTATTATTTTTCATGCATGAAACTTTAATTGTGTGAAATTAATGAAATTTAAATGAAAATATTTTACGAAATTTCCATACTTGGCTTAAAAGGGGTTAAGAGATCGAATTCAATGCATCAATGCAAGAATTAAATAAAAAAATTTAATAGGTTTTAGCTTAACTATAGCAAAGTTAGAACTATCAAATAAACAAGTACAGTGCAGAACCTCTTATCCGGAAATCAGAAAACCGGAGAACCATATAACCGGAATGAAATTCGGAACCGGAAATTAATTTTCTTCCATTAAAAAAATTTTTTTCCCTGCAAGATTTTGAACCCATTTTGTTATTTAGAGCGTACAGCGTATCGAGTTGACGAAAGAACTGATTTAGAGGATGGATCAAAAGCCGTTTGTAGACGAATCTCACATAAGCACAAATAGCTTACATATGTTATTAATGTTAATAATAACATTAATAACATATATAAGCCTGTATATAATTTTTATTTCATAATTTCTTTCCTTATTTAAACTTAAGTGTATTATTATTTATAATTTTTTATTATTTCTAAAACTGTTTAAAAAAAATTTTTTAGTTTCGTTTTATAAACATTAAAAAAAAACGGCATTTTGTAGCGATTCAGAAAACCGGAAAAATCAGTTATCCGGAATCGCGATGGTCCCGATCGTTCCGGATAATCGGTTCTCTACTGCAATATAAGAAAAAAAATTTAAAGTCAATTTCTACTTAGGTCAACAAAGAAAAATTTCATTTTAGTTACTTTTTATTAAATAATTAAAAAATTTATTAATAATTAAAATTTAAAACAATGACTAACGCTTAACCCATCAGAAAATTTCTATTCGTTTATCGCTCATCCCTCTTTAATTATTATTTGTAAAAAACTGTATTAACATCAAGTGTCATCCACTACAAGTTTTAAAAAAATGTATTTGAACTTGAGTGGATGAATAAATAATATTTAATTAACGATTGAAAATTTGAATAATATATAGTGAGAGAGTTAACTAGGAATTGAATAAATATTAATATCAAAATAAATATCAAATAAATTCAGGGTTAGAAATATTAAATAAAACCTACTTGAAAGGCAACTCTAATGCAGTGTACTTTGGATATATATTCTTTATTGGACTGGCACTTCAACATCTCAGTTCTAAAAAAATAAAAAAAATTATGTACAGAAGAAGCACAGACTATTGTAGCGTAACTACCACTATGATTATTTAACATCAATTCACTATTATATAAGGCATGCTAACTCATTTCAATTTTGTGGTATCTTTAACATGATAAAGGTTGGCATTGGCAATTTCTACTCTCCCCACATTGGCGACCTGCGGACGTGATATGATTATGCCTACATCAATGGATGGTCGGCAATGAACAGTTGACTTGCAAATTGTGACTGCGCCCTCCTCACACTGTCGCTTCTCAGTCTCATTTACACACAACGGAATCCTGCACACACTGGACTGCGAATAGCAACACAGGAGAGACCAGGCACACAAACGTGAACTTAATACAGCTCTCATGACAAATGCTCAAAACTCGGGGAACTTAATACAGGCCTCACCACATGTGCTCAAAAAACCGGTGAACTTTACACAGCTCTCCTGGTCTTTCGCAAATACGGCAACTAGTGGTATCTGGTGATTAGAGATGAGAAGCCAGAGCATATATTTCTGCACATAAAAGATAATGCGCCACATGCAAATCTTGTTGCTTGTACTTTCAAGTATGTGAGCTAGTACCATAAAAATAAATTTAATACATAAGGTGTTTTATAACTTTAATAAAAAAAAAGCATAAATATATAACACTGGTTAATCTCGATAAATTGAGCATTATGAAAGAGACAGTACAGTTATGAACATGTTTTTTTTTTTTTTTTTTTNTTTTTTTTTTTTTTTTTTTTTTTTTTTTTTTTTTTTTTTTTTTTTTTTGCCGTGTAGTAACACTTAGTACTAAATTATAAAAAAGTAAACAGTTTTCAGTATTTTATTCTAATAAATGGAGTAATACTCCAGAGTAATTCACTCCAATAAATCCAGAGCCGTGGTGGCTCAGGGGATAGAGCGTTCGCCTTCCAATGAGGCGAACAGGGCTCGAGTCCCAGCAATGAATACTCGATACAAATTCTGCACCCGGCTCACACTGACAAAAAATATCCTCAGAGGTAGATGGATCATGGGTTAGAGTCAGGGTTGGCAAGGTTTAGGACAGAATGGATTAATCCACGGTTTAAATCATCCTGTTCAATACCCCATTGTCCAAAACCCTTTTACTCAAATTATGTCACAATTTTATCTGAACAATATTTAAAAGGTAAAATAAACATAGAACTAATAATATATTGATAATTAAATCTACTAGAGAATATTTGTTTTTAGAAGAATAATGTTTTATTAATATTGTTTGACTTTTCAATTTAAACATTAAACAGAGGAAGATTAATCAGTAATCAAGTTCAATTGGTCCTCTCATTCAATAGTACATAACTGAAGTTTGACCTTGCCATGCAGGTTAAGCTACTAGGAACTAAGTGCTTGGCTAGCCATAAACAGGTTTATTAATCAATAGTACTATTCAAGAATACTTTTATTTCATTCATGTTCGATTCTTTTAGCATAGTGGGGATACATCACCAGTGTCAGTAACTGAAACTGATGTTATGCACTTCAAAACAGTTAATACATTTTTCAGTTATTTTGTATTTCCAATTTAAACTTATATATTTATGTTTAAAAACATTTTTTTTTAAATAGATGTCTTTTTAATCATCTTGTAATGCAGAAATTATAACATTTTTTTAAAAAAATATTGTGAAAAAAAAAAGTTAATTTTTAAACAAATTTAGTATTTTTTTAAAAAAAATATTTTTTTTTTTAATATTGCATTATTTATCCTTATGCAAAAGCATAATTTATCAGTATTAAAAGCATATTTATATTTAAAGGATTAGGTATTCACTTTTGCTGTTCAATGAATTGTGGAGCCTCAAAATTATAAATCTTTTCCTATTATATTATATTATTTCCCATTAATAAGTTAAAGTAAATTGTATAAAAAATATCAAATACTTCTTGATACACGTAATTATTATGTGTACAATGGCTACACCTATAGAATTTTTACCTTTCACAAAAGTTCAAGGTTTTGGACACTTTAAGACAGTTTTATCCAGTTTAGGACTGTAAAACCGCCGTGTCCTGTCCAAAACTAGTTTAGAGCGTCCAAAACCCCAACCCGGGGTTAGAGTTCCCTTGCTGTCAAGCTAACCATGGGAAGTTTACCTCCCAATGCAACACAAATGTGAGTTAGTTCCATAAAAAAAGTCCTCCATGATGGTAAATTTCTCCTACTTGATCCAGAAGTTCCCTTGTCTTCTGGATTGAGTTCAAAATTATAAGGCTAAGCAGTTGAGCATTAGAAGTCATAAATCCAAAACTGGTGGGGCTATTCAACAATGGTTATAAAAAATAATAATAAGGTAGGTAGATATTTGACTTATGTCGTAGTAGAGCTACACAATGGGCTATTGGGGACAGTCTGGGAAACATGCCTGGTGATCCGAAGACATGCCATTGCATTTTTGATCCTCTGCAGAGGGGATGGCTTCTCTGCTTCGGTAGCCCAACGACCTGTGAGCGAAGTTGAGCACTTTATGTTAGAACAGTTTAACGAGGACCGATACTGTGCACTCTTGGTCCCTACGAAGTCTGATTAAAGTGTTCATTCACCCGCTTACTGACCATAGCCATTGATGCTTGACTTCGATGTTCTACTCTGAACCATGTCTTTACGATCATTCCCTTGTGGGACAAAAAATAAATAAATAGAGCTGTATAGAGTACCTTAATAATCGTATAGGAATAGCTCCTTCTTCACTCTTTTTTATTGCTGTCTGGTAAAGAGTCAACTCTCTGAGATCTATACTTGTTTCATACTCATCAAAATCGCCCAAATCTGCAATCTAGAAAAATAATTAGTGACTAAGTTTAAATATTCAAAAACATTCAGATTATAACAGATTAGATTAGAGGATGCGTTTAATTTCAATGAAATGTGCTGCACTAATTAAAATAGACAAGTGAATTTCTAAATAATATATATACAGTATAGAGCCCGTTATCAGGAAATCAGAAAACTGGAAAACCAAAAAACCGGAACGAAATTCGGTAAATTTTCCCGCCATTTAAAAAAAAATTTTTTTTTTTCCTCATAAGATGTTAGAATTTTTCCTTCTTTTTTGAACGATGTTTACCTTACCATCATTTTGGAAATAATCATTAGTGTATTACTTCATCGTTTTAAGATTATTTTCAAATATTTTTTTTTTAGTTGGGTTAGCAATAAAAAAAAGGCTTTTTGCAGCGATTCAGAAAACCGGAAAAATCAGTTATCCGGAATAGCGATGGTCCCGATCGTTCCGGATAATCGTTTCCCTACTGTATATATATATATATAAAATTATATGCAAACTACAATGTCTAATAAAATAGATTTAAGTAGAAACGTGAAATATGTTCTTGAAATTAAAAGACATTTATATCTCATGTTACTGCATATTATACAATAAAATAGATTTAACAAAGTGCACAGCCAAATCTCTTAGCAAAAAATTAGCACATTTTAAGTACATTTGAAGCACTCAAAAAAAATTTTTTAAGCATCATATACATTACCAAAATGCAAAATAATTTTCAAAAACTTTACATGATCATGATAAAACAATCTCATATACAAAAAGCGAAAATTAAGCACTTTTTAAAAATACCCAATGAAAAAAAGCACCTGTAAGGGCTTTTAAAAAACGAAAATAAGCACTTTTGAGCTTTTAAAAACACTATGTACCATGTAGAATTCCTACGTTTAATATTAAAAGAATATATAAATGTGGTAAATGGCAAAATGGATTTTAGTAGACAAAGTAAATTCTTACTTGATCTTGAGCGGAAACAAAACTATCAACATCGGATATGCTTTTAATAGTTTTCTTCTCAGACTCTGTGATGCGCTCGTGCCGAGAAGAGACAACTGATTGGGTTTCAGATTTAAAAAGTACAGAATTACTGTCCAAGAACAGGTGACTGCACGACTCCTGTAATTTATAGGCTTTCTCCAGGATCTTCTCAAGCATGTGAGTGAACTGCCCTTCCTCAGGATCCTGTGGAAAAAAATAACATTCATATGTTTATATATGTCAGGGTTGCCACTCAAATCAGGGGAAAAAAATTCCCTGTGTTTTCCCTACACATATTATACGCAACTTATTATGACGAAACACCCAATCACTGTGCTCTTGTGTGTTGACACTGTTAAACCCACAGTTTTGTTTATTCCGCAATTAAGTCAGATTCATAATGTTTAATTTTGTCCTCAAAATTAAATCAAACCATATGGATTTGATATAATAGTCTTACTATACCATTTGATATATGAGAGGTATTTCCTAGAAAATGAATATTTTCTTTTCATTTAAAAATATGCAGGGATGCCACTCAAATCTGGAATAATAATAAAAATTCCCCTTGTTTTCCCTCTATATATTATACACAATATATTAAGAGGAAACAACAATAACTGGGCTCTTGTGTGAACTATATTGGGTTAACTATAGTTATTAGTTTTAATTGCTGGAAAAACTTAAAGAAAAAAAGGTACAGCTGAATATACTTACATAATCCTATAATAAATTATATAGTTTAGTACAGTGGAAAATATCCCATAGATTATGCTTCAAGTGGACTTTATTTTTTTAAATGACAAAAATAAGAAACGAAGTTCCTTGTATTTTCCCAGTTCATAAAGGAAGAATCAAAATTCCATGCCATTTCAGGTGATTTTTAAATTCCCAGGTTTTCCCTGTGTAGTGTCAACTCTGGTATATATATATATATATAAAAAAATTAAAAAAAACTATTTATAAACCCCATAGCTACTTTTTCGACTACGTTATTATAATTTTTCTAGCTTGGTCAATAGTTTTTATATTCAAAGAATTAACCAGGATTTATATAAATTTGAAGTAAACTACTTGAGTGATATATTGTCAAAGTTTCAAACATATTTAATGATACATTTAATTTTTTTCCCTTCCCTACAATGTTGTCAAAATTTTGCCATAGTTGGACAAAATCAGGGATAAAAATGTGGTTTTTTTTCCCCCAAAAATAGAATGGGCATTAACAGTTTTTTCAATTTTTTAATCTAGCAGGTTAACATTAAAAAACATCAAAAATGTTTCAATAAATAGTAGTAGTTGATAAATGGTTTCTCCACCTTCTATAGAATGTGCTATAATTGCTAAAAAGTAGAGTTTATAAAAGAAGTATTTGTAGAACTACAGATGTTATTTCCCCCCCGTTCTTCTTAACTAGAGAAAAAAATGCATTATTTCAGAGAGGAAAACAAAACATAATATTACTCTATATGACTTGATTAATTTCTGTCAAAATTAAAATTCATGACAATCTAAATGAAACCTAAAAAAATTATCTAACAATTTCAGTATTTTAAATAAATTTTTTAATCTCAAAGATAAAAAATTTTAAAATATTAAAAGAATTGTATTCATAAAGTATTTAGATGTCATAATGAAATATGTTTTAAAGGAGATTTAAAATTACAGATAAAATTAAATGCAATTTTTTTCAATAGATGAATTAGTAGAATTATTAATAAAATAGAAAAATAAAGTATTTATTATAAATCATTGAAGTTATTCCATAATTAACAGAACTTAATGTGATATTCACTATTTGGAATTTGTCAGTTTTTTCTATTTTTGTTTTGGTTTTTTGGCCATAGTAAAACCTAGTATAATTATTAATAAAATAGATTAATAAATATTTTTTATATATCATTGGAGTTATTCCATAATTAACAGAACTTTCGCTATTTGGAATTTGTCAGTTATTTCCATTTTTGTCTTGGTTTTCACCATGGCCAAAAATCCAACCTTGCTTTATCATTTACTTACAGTCAAGGCTAAGACATCACCAGGAGGTGGTCGATAAGCAGCTAAAGCATCTTCCCAATAAGCTATGCCAGTTTCAAGGGCTTCCATGCCTAAATTTAAAAAATACTATTGGAACTATAAATTTTTTTCTTGCTGTAAAAATTTTATAAAAACAAAACTAGATTCATATAAAATATTTATAGCAATAATAAAGCAAAATATTTATCCCTAAATTTTAATTTATTTACAATAATACTCAATTAAAGAATTATTCAAAGAAGAATTAAAAGAATTTATAATTCATATTTTATATTACTCACTATTTTTTATCAAAGCAAAAATTGAGGACTTTATTTGAAAAAATTTAAAGACCTTAAAAATAGTTAGGGTTGGGAGAAAACCGGTTCATTCTGTCCAAATTGGTTTTTTGTTTTGTTGGTTTATTTAACAGAAAAGATTAAATATCACATTATGGTCAAAATTAAAAGTAAGTAAACCATTAAAAAAATTTATATCACATTTTTTTAACAGTTAATTAATCTTTTAATAAAGAATACAGAAATATTCGTTTTCGCTCATAAATAAGTGAACATGGTTGAAAATAATATAACAAGTAAAGGTCTTGAATATTTATTACAACTCCATTTCACAAGCAAATAAACATTTAATAACTAATTGCTTTTATTTAGTTTAATATAATGTAATATTTTTTATAAAAGTTTCAGTTAATTTAATAGTGAATAACTTTTTTATAGTAGTGCATGTATGCAAAAGTTATTCTTATTTCTTAATAATATCGTATGAAAATATCGAGATTAAAAAAACAGAGCAATAACTGTTAAAAAGTCAATCGAAAAACCAGTGCTAGTGTTGCGTCAAAAAATTACAAATAAATGTATGAATTTAATTTTGTGTTTTGTAATAATAACGTATATATATTATACAAGGATTTATACAAAAACATAAAGAGTTAGCAATAATAGCCAATAAAATAAGTGAAACACTGCATGGATTTAAGATGTTATTGGAGCTCATCAAAATGTGATTACTCAAACGCACATTTCAAATTTTACTGCTTGTAATAATATTAGAATAGTAACAACCATGAGAAAATTAATTGAATTAACTGAAATTTTTTTTAAAAAAAAATCAAAACACGGCTTTAAGATGGTATAGAGTGCATTTAAAAGTAGTTACTGAAATACAAAATTTCTATGCCGTGATATCACATTAAAAATACATTTGATCTATTTCGTGGCTAAATAAAAAAAAAAAGAGGGCAAATATGTCAAATTGAATAAATATTTCTGTTACAAATCATAATTTGCAACAAAACTGCTGTTTGCTAAAATATAAATAAAAAAATAATGAGAAATAACCAATTTTTGCTAGAAAACGCTCTTTTAAATATTAGCCATTTTGGAATCACTTTTTAGTTTATAAATTTTATACTCACGTGTTTGCCTCAGTAGTTCACTAATTTCAACCAAAGTAATAGAATTTTTTTCTTTTATTCTCGAAGTTTATCCGAAACTACCTTTTTCCCTAACAAATATGCATAAAAATAGTTGTTATCGCAGGAGAATGAGAGCTTAGGAAGAAAAAAAGGGATGCTGTTCTTGATAACAAGACTTTGTGTAAATAATGAAATATAAATATTAGATCAGAACTTCAAGAACATTTTATGGGAATAAAAATTTATTGAATCACGGAAGTTTGCAAATTCAACAGTTTTGAGATTCACAGAATTCTGTGAATTAGTGGAAGAATCATATGCCTGTTTTCAGAGCCTTTAATTTTCAAAATAAAAATTAAGCAGCTTTTAAGGATTTTTAAGGACCATAGCAACCCTATAAGTGCCAAGAATAGATTATTAGTTATTTAAGTCCTACAGTTAAAGTTATTTAATGTCCTTAAAAGAAATAATGTTTAAAAATCACTCATGTTAAAATTTTTACTGAAACTAAACGAGCACTCAAACATCAAACCTAAGTCAAGAATCAAGATATTGCTCTACAGAAGGCAAAAGTTTTGATTTTTCTTTACCTCATATCATTCATAAATGTATTTCATGTAATGACCTGGTAAGTTTTGGATAGAGAGCACTTATAAATCTTACAGGGAGGGCAGCCCAAACTCTATGTATAGTTTGTCTATGGTAAGAACTCTCCCTGCCACAAAGTCTAAAGCCATGGAAACAAAAAAGCACATTTCTGGAAGGCAGCTTCACTTCACTCTCGGGCTAACACAGTAGACTAAAGAAAAATATTTCCTTTCATTTGCGGACCTGAGCCAAAACCTGTGACAAACAGTGACCTCACAACCCTACTTGAAAAAGTTATACCTCTATACCATAATCACTGCCACAGGTCCATAGGAATGGCTAGGGGAGTTCTCACTTTAATGAACTGTATGCATACCTGCCAGCATTAGAGAAATAAAATAACGCAGATTTTACTAGCGACATTTATTAGGCTATGAGTTAGGTTTTGATACATCATGCATAATCAGGTAAGTTAAAAAGAGGAACTCATAATTGGAAAGCACTTACATTTAGTTAGTAAAAAATATGTATATAAATTTTAATCAAAAGAATATTTTTGTTAAACCATTATTTATAATCACTTAAACTAGTTTATTTTATAACCATGGTTGAACAGCTGACCGAAATTAGGGTTTACAGCTACTAATGTTCAACTCCGCAGCCTTGAAATTTTGAACCCAATCCAGAAGAAAAGGGAAATTTTGGATCAAGTATTGGGAGAAATTTGCCTTTGTGGAGAATTTTTTGATGGAACTAACTCGCTTTTGGATTACATGGTGAGGAAAACCACCAAGACCTCCCATGTTTAGCCTGACCGCAAGGGGATTCTAATCCATGATCCGTTTACCACTGAGGATATTTTTGGTCAGCACTATGGTCGGTGCGACCTGGGTGTGGAATTCGTATCGACTAGACGTCGCTGGGATTCGAACCTGGTTCACCTCATTGGATGGCAAACGCTCTATCCCCCCCACCACCACTCAACATACTGCAGTAATGACAATAGCACCATCTGTTATGGCATAAGAGAATTATTTTTGCCATCAGCGGATATTTTATCCCCAAAAAAAAATTCTGTTTTAAATTCTTCAATAAATACGAAGAAATTTGAGAATATACGAGTAAACACGAGATAGTCGTAAATACAAGAGTCTTTGTTAAAAAACAGGAGACTTAGCAGGTATGTATATGAATAAACTTAATCTAACAGTCATAAATACCTAACTGTTATAAAAATATTAAATAATTTGAGGCAAAATCATTCATTTACCCATAGTTCCAAGTTGTTGAGGAGTTAAGACTGCTGATGTAACAGTATCGCCAGCTAAGCTGGCAGTGAGAAGAGAATGAATAGACTGTCTATCACTGCATATGGATCCTTGTCTATGGTGTCTATACAATGCTAAATTTGGGTTACCCCTGCCACTCAGAACATCTAAAATATATTTTACAAACAGTCAATTAATAAACGAAGAACAGTGTACTAATTTTGATGTGAGTTAGTTTTTAAATAAATACCTCCATTTGCATTTGTCCCAGAGTTGCTTTGTTTGACTTTGTTACTATCAGGGTGATCTATAGATTTTGGTCTTCTTTTTCTTCGGCGCAACAACCTTTAATAGGAATTAGTGAACATCAATATTAATAACTAATCAGTGAAATAATGATTAATCCATTAAAACTGTAGAGTTCTACACTTCTACTTAAAAAATCCGCCCAATTACATACCTGCCAACATTGGAGAAATAAAATAACGAGGATTTTACTAGCGACATTTATTACGCTGTGAGTTAGGTTTTGATACATCATGCATAATCAGGTAAGTTAAAAAGAGGAACTCATAATTGGAAATCATATATAAGCACTTAAAGTTAATGAAGTAAAAAATTATTTTATAAACCATTTATAAACCATTATTTATAATTACCTACTTAAACTATAAACATTCAACATACTGGTAATAGCATCATCTGTAGAGGAATAAGAGAAGTATTTTTGCCATCAGTGGAAATTTTATCACCAGAAATGTTTTTTAAAAATTTCTTTAACAAATACGGAGAAATTTGAGAATATATGGGTAACCAGGAGATATTCATAAAATAGAGGAGCCTTCATTATAAAACTGGAGACTTGGCAGGTATGTAATTATAAAGATGAAGCAAAAACTGATAAAAAATAATAATAAACTAACAAAGTGAAAGTAGTGATCATGAAAAATAGGAAAGCAGCTTTTGGCATGGAGAGAAGGGAAAATTGTAGCTGATTGTTTTTTAGTACTAAATTATCAATATCAATTATTAAAATTAATTTATTTTTTAAATGCATTAATTTATTTTCAATCACCATCATTTCAACTTTTTTTACAATTTCCTCTTTTGATAAAAATAATGAAACAATAAGTCTATCTGACATTCAATACATCAATCAAGACTTTTCGTACTTAGCACTATTTAGTTCGTTTGGGGTTAAATAGAATTGAAGCTTAATATGGATATATATTACTGTAGAAAATTCAAGGTAAAAAAAATTAAAATATTATGAGCCTGAAATAATTAAGTACCGATTTTAAGTAGTATAAGTTTAAAATATTATGTACCCGAAGTAATTAATAAGTAACGAAAATTAAACAAAATTATAAACTACTCAGGCATCATGAAAAAAAGAATGACGAATTTGAAAATAAGTAAAAGTAAAGGTCTACACAGCAATACAAATTTCCATTATTGATTTCAAATTATTTGAGAATTATTAGGAAAAAATGACTTTTCATTCACTTATAATTTGAATTTTTTTAAGAAATTAAAAAGCAGTATCAATGCTTTAGAGATAAATTTTATCATGTAAGTTTTATCATGTATTCCAGATTTGGGTTGCCACTCAAATCTGGAAAAAAAATTCCCTGTACTTATTATACACAATATATTACGAAGAAACAAAACAATTACTGTGCTTTTGTACGTGCTGTACTGGGCTAGCTATACTTGTTACAATTGTTGAAAAAGAACAGCTGAACATACTTAAAACAAATAGTGCTATAGTAAATGAACTTAGTTTAATTTAGCTGAAATATCATCCTTGAATAGCACATTGATTGTTCTTTGAGTGGTTATCATTTTTTAAAAGACAAAAATAAGAAACAAAATTTCCTGTATTTTCCCAGTTTCTAAAGAAAATCTCAAAATTCCCTGCATTTTCCCTGTTATATTAGGTAATTTTAAAATTCCCTGCATTTTTCAGGTTTTCCCTATTCTCCCTCTAGAGTGGCAACTCTTAATATGTTATTCAGGACAACCCTCAATATTTACTCATTCCCCCCCTCCGAGAAATTTTAAAGGTTAAAAAAAGCACACACACAATTCTAAATCATATTTTAGGAAAATAAACTGATACCTGGCCACAAATGACAATAGAGATACTCCAACAGTGACAGATATAATTGTAATTTTGACTTGCATTGAGGTAGAAAACGGAAATCTAGCGGTTGGGAGCAGATCCATGATAAGTCAAAACACCTAAACAAAATAATCATTACAAACATGTTAAAATTTTCAAAATATAAACAATACATGGTTATTATAAAATTTTCAGAAGAAACATAACGAATAGCATTCATATTTTCTGCAATTTGGGGTATATTTTCAGATTTAGTAATAGAAATTATGCAACTTGGTGTGCAACAAAATAATCATTAGAGACAACAATGCAAACATGTTAGAATTTCAAAATATAAACATTACATGATTATTACAGTGAAAACTCACTACTACAATATCCAATACAACAATAACTACCCCTAATACGATAATGTTTCATGGTCCCGACAAACTTGCATATGAATTAATGTTATTCTCCTCGCAATATTAAGATATCTTTTGAAACAATAAATCCCTGTAAAACAATTTTCTTTCCAACTTTCAACCTTATTTTCTCAATTTATTATTGGTTTTCAAATAATGTAAAAAACCTTATTTTATCATCCCTTGCCATATTTTCTGTCAAGAGAAGACTCACTGCTGACCTCCCCCCCCACAAGCTTCCATACTTAGAATTGCCTCCCTCATCTCTTAAGAAGTCGCAGATGTAACATGCCAAACTGATTTCATTTCCTTCATATTAAAAGCTGATCATGAGTCACAAATGAACAATATCAGATTAACACCTGAAAGATAATTTTTTCCATAGAGGGTGGAGCACCATTCACAAGCAAAAATCCTTTTCGTACTTTGAACTCAATGCATACTTAGTTGGTAGACTTAACAGTCAGAAGAATGAATAAACAAACAAAAATAACATATTATTTTCAATAAATACGGTTTTCAAGTATGTTTGCGATCTTATTTTATTTAAATTGTTTTTAATATTTAACCATAATTAACCAATCTGCAAATTAATATATACTTTTATAGTTAACATAAATAACATTAAAATTAAAAAAAAAAATCTCATTGTATACCCAAAGTATGCAGGCCCTCGTTATAACAATATATTCCTCTACAACAATATATTTATTTGGTGCCAAAAATATTGTTGTAGCGAGGTTCTATTGAATAAAATTTTGAAATTTTCAGAAGGAACGTAAAGAATAGCATCCATATTTTCTGCAATTTTTCGAATATTTTCAGATTCAGCAAATAGAAATTTTGAAACTTGGTGTACAACAACAAAAGCTAACTGAGGTAACACACACCACCCAAATATTGACTAACACCAAGTCTAATTTTAAGGATTGTGTTTTCAGAGTAAGTGTAAAGAACAACAATCTTGAGCTCTTCACTTCCGGTTAGAAAGTATACAGCTGGTACAGTTCATTCTGCGATACAATATTTTCAAACAGATAATTTTGTTTTTAATAAAAGAAATAAATTATATAATTTCTGAGGCCAACTAACTACATAGCTACTCATCATTAAAAAAAAATTTAATATTTTTTCAAATGCCCTTTAAACTACATTTTTAGAATTAGTTTTGTTCTGAATTCAATAATGTGATTAACATAATTAATCAGTCACGCAAACTTTTATTAAAGAAAATTTATAATGCAAAACAATTTAATGTAAATTTCATATTATTCAGTATTTTATCATGATTTGATAAATAATTAATTTTCATATTTAAATCATTATTTTGTAGCATTAAAATAAAACTGCTAACAAAATATTTTATAAAAACAAAAATAGTCTTTTGGGAAGAATTTAAAAAATACTATTTTTAATGTTTTGTTATAATACTTATATATGCTTATTTTATTCATAATTTGTAAACTAATTTATTAAGGGGATAAAAATAAAAGACGAAGCTATTCCAACCTATACTCTGCATCTATTCAGTTTACACAAATAACATTAAGAAAGCTCAAATTGTTGTTTAAAAAGGAGATTTTTCCTTATGTTAAAGCAAGAAATTATTAATTAAAGGTAAAACATATTTATTTACACAGCCAATAAACATATATTGTTATGCAGCCAAATGGTCTGCTTTCAAATATTCTTAGAATGTTCCTCTTGAATCATGCAGTTCAATAGATTCTTTTTTATTCTTAAGACTTCTCTTTAATAATTAAATTTTAAAATATTTCGTAAGGGGCCCGGAAAATTTGGTTGGCCTGAATTAGTCTTGATCGTTCCCCGAATATTTTATCAGCCAAATAAAAAATAATGATTGATATAAGAGCAGATTTCGATAATAAATTTTATAAAAAAACTCAAAAAAACCTAGCATTTGAGCCTAGGTTTTATTGAGTGGTTACTTTTCTTTTCTTAAAAAAAAAACCCACCAAGTTCTTTTTTAGGTTTGTGGGTGGGTCCGAACTCCTGATTTTAGGAGCAATGTAAAAGCTAACATTAACTTAGAATTTATTCAATTTTATTGCATATGATCTCGATATTTTAAATAACTTGTCAATTTTTGAACACATGTTATGTATCTGGGATTGAGCCAGAATATGCGTACCGGTTGCAAATAAAAAAAAATTTCTATTTGTAACAAATTTCTAGTACTAAATATGTCCTTTTTCAAATCTAGCATATTATACAGTGAAGATTGAATCATATGGAATAAATGAAACTATTAAATATATGTCATGCAATTGGATCTCTTCAATGCTGATTATATTATTACAGGATTATCCAACATGAATAATAACATATAACTTGTTTAAAATTATTTCATTTGACTTGAATTGTAAATAAAGTGACGAAACTTATTAAAGTATTATTTATGTAAAATTAATCGGAAAATCAGTTACACAGAACAATTAAATTGCTTTATAATTACTTCTTATGATTTATTATTTTATAACTATATGAATTCAACTTAATTTTATTCGATTATTTTTTAAATTAATATTTCTTTTGCCCTTCACTTTCGCATGCCTCTGCCGCATTTCAAACTTTGTTTATTTTGTTGCGAGAGCAACCGATACAGTTACAGTTTTCGTAGAGATTCCTAATCAGACAGCCACCGTGGATTCAAAAAAGGGGGGAAAGCAATAGAAATATCCCTCTCCATTTACTACTGCTATCTAGCGTGTTTTAGAAGAACTGTAAACACTCCGCCCCTTATTTTATTGGCTCAACAAGAACCAATTAAAAGTCTCGAACTTAAACTCTTTTCACCTCCATCATTACCTGAATTCAATCTGTTTCGAACTTCGTTTACTTGCTGTCAAAGCAACCGAGAGGGGGATTGGAAGTGCGGAAAGTGACAGATGTTGTCTTAACATTGATCTTTTTACAAAAACAAGCTTAATTTCATCAATTAGAATATCATTATCCGTCCACTATTTCGTATAAAGAATATTTTAATCGTGTTTTACTATTTTCGACGTGGATATTTTACATTATGTGAAAAAGAGCAAACTTTTTTGTGTGTATTATGAAAGTGGGATAGTGTTTACGAACGTAATGAAGAACCTTAGGAATATATCGCAGGTATCCAGCACAGGTAAGATATAGTTAATTCAATAATGTTGGATATTACACAGTGCTGCTTTAGTTAGTTTTTTTTTCTTCAGATTTTGAAATTTAATTTAAACTTATCTAATTGATATTCAGTTTAATAACAGAATATATTTTAAATACATTATGAAAGACAAATTAGGTTTATTTCATTCACAACAAGTTGTTCTGATTTAAGAGCGGTGGCTTTTTAGTTGGTTTTCTTTTCTTATTTCGTTAAGTTTTATGATGCTATCACTTTTAGATATTTTGAATTTATTCAATTTAAAGTTGTTTTGGGATAAAAAAAAAAATTATATTGACTTATTGAAAGAATAAAAATTGACTGACCTTGAATTCATAACAAAGCAAATGGTATCCGCATAAATGATGGAATTTTTGTTTTAATTTATAAAGTTTGCATTTAAATATCGTATTAATATTTTGAATTTTCTTTCTAAAATTGTTAATCTATTTTAGTTGAATTAGTTATTATTGTGTAATTATTTTTCAATGAAGTTTCAATTCAATAATTTTTAAGATTTGATAAAACTTTGATACCATTGAATTTAATTGTTTTCATTTTAAAAATTGTTATGATAATTTAATATACAATAATATTAATTATTATTACATGTATAATATTTTAAATATTAGGTTTTATAAATTAAAGTACCAAATGTAAATTTATACATTTTTTAAAAAATATTAATTCAAATTCTATCCACCTGAAATATAGAGGTACTTTATATACCGAATGTAAATTTAAATAATTTTTTTATTAAACATTAATTTCAATTCTATCTATCTGAAATATAGAGGTACTTTTATTTAATTCCATCTCTTTATATTTACTATATATAAGAAATGTTTAAAGCTATAAATCATAGGTTTTGTTGAAGGTGTCATGAACTCAATCATGAAAGTGTTGTTGTAGCTGTTATCTCCCTTTCCTTTATTTAAATAATCTTTTTAAAATATTGTGAATTATTTTCTCACTTATAAATTAAAGCTGATTCTTTGCTATATCTTATGTTTTTAAGTAGCTTCAATTTATATAAGTTGAATATACATTGTAAACAAGGAGAAAAAATATGGTCATATTTCTTAAAGAGAAGAAGAAATATTAATAATAAATAAAATGGTTTTTAAAAAATTAATAAGCCAGAACGCAAAATTAGGAAAAGATATCTCTTAAGAACAATCACTACCTCAATGGCCCTGGATAACAAAATATAATCTTATCATCAGCTCACACAATTATATCTGCATAAAAAGAGTGCTTTCTATCAATATTGTTTTAATATAGCCATAATATATATATGGAGAGAGATTGTTTCTGATAAGAGTATTATAAAATATATGAAAATTAATATTGCTGTATATTTTTCGTTTTTAGCCAGTTTCTGCTTTAAAAGTTTTATGAGTTTCAACTTAAACCAGTTTGTAATATATATCAGTTATGCTGTTTTTTCACACTTATTTTTTCTCCCTAGAGCTATAGTTGAGGTTTACAAACATAATTGTTAATAAAACAAAGTTATACATTTATTATCATGTCGCTAATAATACTATCGGCCTATAATTTGAAATTAGTATATGTGTATAAATCATTTATTTTAGCTTGATATTATATAGTTGATGTAACTATAAATTTCTTTATAAAACATCAAAAATAATAGCCCAAAAATTTAAATTAAAAGTTTTTGATCAAATTGTATTAGGGAGAAAGACTTACTCCTTAGAAGTATGATTTTAACAAATTATTGCTGATATTTAATAACATTGTCTCTACTAAGAAAAAAAATGAAAAGCAAATACTTTTATTTTAATTAAACAATGATTGTTACAACTTTACTTATTAATGTTAAATAATAACTGGGTGGAAAAACTAGATACCATTTTCTAAAGAAAATTTACACCCATATGAGGCAAAAGCTATAGTTCTACAATGATAAAAGTAAAAACTGCATTAAAACAAAATTAAAGATTCAGATTTTTGGTATATTATTATTAAAATTTATTAGTAAAAATTTTAAGCAAATTTTTTTGAGCAAGAAATTGCAAACTTGATACTTTTTAGTATTTCTCAGTATTGCAACAATGGTATTGTATTTTATATCTTGTCAATGCTTGTGTGGTTTAATCTACATGATTTAAATAAGTAGACGAAATTTAGGTTCTCTTCAGTAGTTTCTAGGCTCCATTGTAATGCATAATTGTTACATTTGTTGAGATAAGTTTGAAAAAAAGTAATAAAGTGTAGAATAAAGAGAAAAAGCTTAGACTTTAGGAATCAATTATATACTCTATACTGCTTGATACATATTAAAATTTCAGGGAAGGAGATTTAACAAATTTTATCTCAGTGAAATAGAAATTTTTTTTATTAAAAGTAAAATTACTACAAATTAAAATTTTTTACTTTTATTAAAAGTAAAAAAATGTAGTAAAATTACTACATTTTTTTTAATAAAATTGCTGGATTTTTTTGAGGCAGAAATTCAAAAATTCCCTTGAATTTTTAGTAACAGATTCAAATTTCAAACGTTTTATTTAAAGTTCTGCTTGTTCAAAAGCCTTCCCGTATAGACTTGTGTTCTAAAACCCAAAAGTCTGTAAATCCTCTGTCCGCTTCATGTGATATGTATTTAACAAAGGATATGTATTTTCGTATCCTACCAATTTCTTTTTACTATGGAACAGCTGCTGTAAGTAGCAGATCAATTCATCCGACTATGTCACGTGTTTAATACCGACAGTATTGTATGGCCACCGAAGTGCTACACCTTTATTCTTTTAAGAGGGTCTTCCTTAAACTGTTTTAACCCCCTTGAAAGTTTTTCTTTCATAGAAGGAAAATTCGTTTTTACTGTAAACAGCTGTCTTTATTTTCTGAAATTGCTATCTTATCTATATATTAGGACTACAGGTTCATTTTTAACTGGGGTAATGAAAATTTTTGAAGTTAAAAACAAAAAAAACTGAGTTCTGTCTGGAAGAAATTTGGGTGGTCGGTTTACGAACCATTCACGGCAGTATTTGTTTTAAAAACTCAATATGTTTTATTACAGACAGTTTATAAAATTTTCCTTGAAAAACAGGCTGATGTTGTCACTGAGACACTTTATTATTCTGGCAGAACCTGATTCTACACTAATTTTAAATTCACGAAATCATGAGCAGAATTTTTTCAATCATAGTAAGTCTTTGATTTGCATTTTCTGGATTTTCTTTTCAACTTTTTTATGACGCAAAAAGTTTTTTTTTTACATAAATTACAGGAAAACAGATATTCATCAAACAATTTAAAGAGACAAGTAACGTTATTACGTTTCAAAAAAAAAAAAAAAAANTAAACAAAAAAAAAAAAAAAAGAAAAAATATATATTTGCAGAATCTCTCCGCCTCCACCTCTTCAACGTCCCTCAGTGGACTGATTATTAAGACAAGGTTCCCAGCAGATAACCGAAGTCAGGCATCACTGGCTGCGGTCAGTGTGCAGGTGTGTGACCACTTGGATCAGTCTGCGTAGGGCCCGAGGATGCGCGGTATCTGTCCTTGTTAAACTGTTCTATCGTAAAGTGCCCAACTTCGCGCACAGATCGTCGGGGTACCGAAGCTGGGGAGTCCCCCACTCTGCAGAGGATCAAAATTGCGATGGCATGTCTTCGGATCATCCTCGGGGATATTTCCCTGACCGTTGCCAATAGCCCGTTTTGCATCGTGCTTACTAGCACTGGGCGATAAACCGACGCATCGGTAAATATCAATTCGGTGCAATCATCGCCGATCCGATGTCTCGATTGTCAACTTTTCGAAGCATTGGAAATAGTGATTTACTGATATGTGTACGATATTTCCCGATGTATCATTGGCATCGATGTTTGCACACGCGATGTTGAGCATTGTTCTCAATAGTACATCGATGTCTGCAAGAGTATTTTCCTCCTTAAGTGTGCAGTGATAGCTGTGGCGATGATCGTTATTATCTTTCCCCGTCTTTCTTACATCGTGGCGCATCATTTTGCTGGGCGATGCCAAAATCTTAACGTTGCCCAGTCCTAATGCCTACGTATATTTGTTAATTTATTGACTTAGAAAAGTTGTAGTAATGTGCTTGAACGATTTTGCACCTCTGCGTTTATTGACACTCCAAGCATTTTGGTCCCTTGACGTCTTTTTTTATTGTCCCTTACGGACTACATGACAAAAACGTGCTTTGATTTAAAAGTCCCGCAAAAATCAATAGCAGCGTCTACCGCCTTAGGAATGAATGTATTAATCGATAAAGTGTATCCAGTAGGAGTAAGATGCCAGAAATACACATGGGGCTTATTTTTCCCGGAAAAAGTTGAGTTTTAACAGTACAATGTTTCCATTTGGAATCGGACGTGGCTGGAAAGTCTTGAAAAGTACTCCGGTCTATTTGAAATACAGTTGGACCTCGATTTAACGAATTGATTGGGAACGTTAAATCCGTTCATTGTATCGAATATCAATTTTTGTTAAGAGTATGGTATAAAAATATCAATGTAAAATACCCTTATGTATGCAGATATAAAATAAGTTATTGTTTACTACAAGCTTAAAAATTATAAGTTAGGGTATAAACTTTGAAATGATTTTAATTCTTTAACGCTACTTGCTTTTAAAGCTTAATAATACATAATACATACATATAATTACACACTTGGATTAGGGTGTGAAATAATGTTAATTTTTTTTATTTAAATAAACAAGGTGGCAGAATGAAAAAAAATTTTGCCTACGGATGAATTTCTTTTAGTTTTATTCTGTCAAAACTGCATTAGAAAATAAAACTCTCCTATTAATACAGGGGTCTGATCAGACATTTTGTGAGAGGTCGTGTTTTTGTAAAATTGTGAAAAAACTGCTCTTAATTTGTGAATATAAAATAAGCATAAAGTCAGATTCTTTCAACCAGGGTCCTGTTTTGTGAATTTGTGCGAATAGGGTCCTGTTATTGCAATAATTGCTGAAAAC